CCAGCTGAGTCTCGTGAGCACAACAGGGACTGCATCCTGCTATCATTCTTTGACGACCACGACATTTGGCATTTCCTGTCCTCCATCGCCATGTTTGGATCCTTCTTGGTATTATGAGTCATGTTTAAGTTTGTTTAAACATGCAGGATATGCAGTTGGTCTAGAATGAGGCGTTAAAACCTTAATATCCCCTCAGGTCCTCCTGACCATGGACGACGACCTCGACACCGTCCAGAGAGACAAAATCTACGTCTTCTAGATTTGCCAGATCTGCGAAGAGCTCTGCTCTTTCTCTCTGCCTTATCACCCTGTCTGTTTGCATCCCCTCCATCTTTTTCAAAAAGCACAGCCAGTAGCCTGTTTCTGGGCTGTCGATGAGCACCTCTCTGCCTCGTGGAGAGTCGGGGAGGAGCAACAGGCCCCTCCCTCTACCTGCGTGGACACTAATGTGCCAATAGAAGCCGGAACGTCGTCGAGCGATGCTGAAGTGTTTCGTCCTCTCGCTGCCATCATCGATGTAACTGTTGTGAGCACCGTTTACTGCTGACGATTAACGGTGTGCATTCTCGCTTGACACGAAACTCGTCCACTTTAACTTATTTTCTATTGTCTGCATTACATTTGGCCTGGAAGTCAGCAATGTATTTTAATTACTGTTTGTAGCCTGTTTATATGCTGTGTGTGTTTGTACAGGTGTGTGCGTGCGTGCGTGCGTGTTTTCAAAAATAATTGCGGGAAGATGAATCCTGTCCAGTCTGTGGCCTTCAATGTTCTAATCATAGTAGTCACAATACTGTGTTCTGATTGGTCAGATCTGCAAGCTAGCCGTCCTCCTCCTTGAGGGAATATCCATGAAGACATGATTGTATTTACTTGTAACTGCCCTTAAGTGTGACTCTTAAAGGTATTTTTGCACTCTACAAAAAATGAATTTTATTGTCAGGCATTGCAGTGAAAGGATACTCAATAAAGGTCTTTTCTGAAGTGTGGTCTATTTTTCCAATACTTGGCTTTGATAAGATCATCTGGGGCACAACAGCTCCACCCACCTGCTGTTTGGATCTTCTGTTTGAGAGGGGCAGCCATTCAGAAGTAACCTGGCTTAATTACTGAGCCCAATTTAGAGCAGCTCACAATTTAACCACAAGTTTTTCCACTGGAAATCATTCGCACATTAAAAATGTTTTATTAAAATATTTCATAGAAAAATACAATATTTACACAAATATGTAACAGGCACAACTAGTCGACAGCTCACTATTACTGATATGCAAACACCAGGAGACTGGACATTAAAAAACATTTTTCAAAGTGGATTGGCTTCACTGTCTTTACAAAAACAACAGGAAATTCAGTCTCTGTTAAAAAGTGCATTACATAAACGGTTAACCTCCATCAGGCCGTGTTGTGGAAGGAAAGGTTTCAGCAATAGAGAAATCGCACAGGACACTTCTCTGTGATTGTCTTATACTTATTAGGAAAACCCAACCCGACACAAGTGAACTACAGCTTTTGTCCACAGAGTGGATAAGTTCTGGCATGGACCTCTAACCCTGCATTTGTTTGCCTGAAAAAATAATAAAAGTAGTTTCTAGTGTTGGAGGATAAAAGTCCTCAGCCCTCTCAGATATGTAACCTCCCTGAATGAACAGCCATGTCCTCTAGAGTGAGCTCTTCCTCTGGGAAGAGCAGAGGAAGCTGAACGATCCCTGAAAATTTTCTGAACCGACATATTTAATTATATTAATTATATTTAATTTTAAAAGAAGAAGAAGGAGGAATGTAAACATCACAATGCAGACGTGTCACAGTCAGTAATACAAAGTCCTCGGTAACGGTCTCGGTAGAGGGAGGCCGTGCATCATGTTGTCAGTAATGATAGACTCTGATCTGATTGTTGTCATCCAGGCCCAGCTGGACCAGCCCGCTCTTTGAGGAGGGAGCCTGATAGCGGGTGAACAGCGGTCTGAACGGTGGAGTTAAAGATGGCAGGTACAACCCAAGGTGAACTTAGACTAGAGATGTTTGCAAAGTAAAAATTTAAAAAGGAAGTTATATGAAATAAAGGAGAACTAGAGGATGGACTGTGTGTTAGAGTGATGGAAGGATACATGCTGGTGTCTTTCTTGCGCATTTCCAGCCACCTCTTGTTGCCGTCTATCAGCCCCTGCAGCCTTTGGCCGTCCATCTCAGCTGATCTCGGTGTGGAGTGAAGCGCCCGGCTGTGTTCACTGAGACACACACAGGAGTTACCGTAAGTACACTTAAAACAGCGTTTGTGTGGAATCTGCTACACAGGCTTGATTAAAGGTGTATTGTAGGTTGCAGTACTTCAGAGGAGTGTATGATGAGTAAGCCGTGGAGGGTCTTGTTGTGCTGGAACCGAGCGGGGCAACAGCTGCTCCTGGACAAGAGAACAATGACATAATTTGTACAACTTTGTTTTGTTTTTCCCCCAACGAGTGCTGTTGTTGGTGCACCACTAATCCAACAACATACCAGGGAATATCTGGCTCCAGCGGCTGTTGAGGGTGTCCCTGGATGCCCTCAGCTCACTGCTGATGGGCGTGCTGAAGAGTGGGGAGGCTGCAGGGCCGCTCTGAGTCGCCCAGCTCCACGGTGGCTCTGAGGGCCTCTCCAGAGGAGGAGGCGAGGCTAAGGAGCTGGTTCCCAGGTTGTACATCTGAGCAATGACAGGAGCTGATGAGGAGGAGGTAGGAGCTAGAGTGGAGTGAGGATGAGACAGAGGTGGAGGGAAAGCTGCGTAAGGTGTGGTGCTCTGCTGCTGGGTCAGCGAACCCAAGGCACCCAGGACGGTGTTGAGCTGGCCTGAGATCTGCTGCAGTGACTCTGCTAATTCCTGGACTTTGGCTGGAACAGTGGGAATATCACCTGAAGAGAGAGGGAGGAGGAGAGTGTAGATTTGCAGAGGTAAGAGAAAATACAACAGGTGAGTTCTTCAAACTGGTAGGAGCGGCTCTCTGGGGACGCACTAGAGCCAAAATGATTGTCTATTAACAGCTGATTTGTGAAGTTTATATACAGAAACATTGGCTCTGACACACAAATCAAAGGGCCACTTATAGTCCCCAATCATAAATCAGAGTATGGTATAGGTTACCTTAGATCTGCTAATTCAGTATACTTTGAAAGGGGCTTTACTCTCAGCCCATAGCTACAGGGGAACATGTTACTTCCATCCATCTTCTTTTGCCTTAGCAAGGGCTTGTTTGTGGGGGCAGCAGCTAAAGTACAGCTGTAGGAGTCCAGGAGGAATCCCAGTCAGATGCCCAAACCAGAAGCAAGAAAAATAAAGCGCATTGACAAAATCGGTCTTTTTACACCTTTACAGGGTGCGTTGTTGATAACTTTGACTTTATTGAGGCTGTGTAACACTGACACATATTCCAGGAGCGCTGACACTCAGTCTGAGCACTCAGTGTTAAAGGCGAATGCTGAACCCCAAGCGGTGAACTGGCAGAGCCCACATGTTGGATTTAGACTGAAATGTGAAAATCCTGTTCATTGTCTGGCGAGCATGCATTACCTGTCCCATATGGCGGTTCCACGGTGCTGCTGAGGTCTGACTCACTCACATCAAAGGTTACCTTCCTTCCTCCGGCGAGCCGAGACAAATCCTCAAACAGCGGCTACGTGGAAAAAGCACCAGGGCGTTACAGTCATCACGACATTCCATTAAAAGTGTGAATTCCCTTCTGCTACACCTCAAATCTAATCCAGGTTATATTTCCAATCCACTGAGACACATTTCATCCTTGCATATAAAGTGTTGAGTGGCAGAAAGGTACCATGCTGCTAAATGTTCTGCTTATTTTTATAGCTTTTCATCAATTTTACTCTGTCAATATAACCTTCTACACTGATTACACAAGCTCATTCCAAGTGAGACTTTAAACAAGCTCACAGAAGAGCACAAATACATGCTGATGACCTCCTGACCTCTTTGGCTATAGAGTTCTCTAGCTGCAGAAGCTGCTCCTCTTTCCTCCGCAGGAGACTGTTTCCTCTCTGAACCGTCCGCTCCAGCTCCGCCACACTGTTGGCCTCCTGACAAAGGGAGGGGAAATTCCCATCTTGTTTAAAAAAAAAAAATCCGATTGAGGTTTAACACGTGAGGCTTCCCCTTACCTGCTCAAGGTTTATCATCGTCTCTTCGGTCGCTCCTCCCTGAGCAGGGTGGGCCTGCAGGGCCGCCTGCCTCTTCATCAGCCGGCTGCTCTCTCTCTCCAGGAAGAGTTTGGTCTTCTGGATGGAAGCGCCATGTGAGGAGATGTACCGCCGGAATCTGGACACGTAGAGGTGTGGGGATGGGAAGTGTTGAAGGTAGACACGCACCAAAAACTCGAATGTTTTGATATTTCTATCATACAAACATTAGAACTAGAAACATGCACGCTTCAAAACAATGAAAGGAAGAGTTTTAATCAGTACAACATCAAGTCACTTAAACTTCTGGTATTGGTCTTGTTAGTTAAGTAGCAGGGGGGGTTGTTACGGTAGTCAGTTTTAGCTGATTTAGTACTGAGGACATAAACAACAAGTGCATAAGAGGGGTAACAATGAAAAAAACCCAAATCTGTAATGTCAGATCCGGGAGGAGCGCTGCTTTCACAGCATCTGTCATCTTATTAGGAGTAGTCTACCTCAAAGGTTTTTCGATTTTTAGGATTCGGCTATTTTTTTAGATTGACAAAATGATAAGAACAAAATGCTGGAAAGTACCAAACCATAAACAAACCCCTAATCCTGAAAATTTATAACTGTTTATTCTGTGATTGGTACTGTGTGTGTGCTCCCCTTACTCATCCATGCTGCTGTTGCTGTCAGGTACAGGGGAAAGAGGCGGCTCCTCCAGGTCATCTACATGTAGTGATGTGTCTCTTCTGTCACTGGAGGGCGGCGGCGTCTTCTCTGCCTTCTTCTTTCTGTCCTGCTCTTGTTCCGCGGACGTGCTCGCCCCTTCACCTCGTTCCAGCTCACTGAGAAAACGACAGCAGACTTTTCACATGGAATCATATTTAAAGCCATTAAAAAAGCTAAACAAATACAAAACAAGACAATTCTACATATGCAAGGCGACAGTCATTCTGTCATTTAATACTGAGGCAAATCTATGAGTACCAATCAGAGCTTTTATTTTGAAAGCTATTAGTGTAGGAAGCCTCTACCTGACTCTGTGGCTGAGGCGGTCACATCTCTCCTGCAGCAATGCCACCTTGGTCTCCAGGTGCTCCTTGTCCTCCCTGGCTCTCCTGCTCTCTTCCCTGGCTCGGTCCAACTCCTCCCTGAGCCTCTCCTCCTTCTCCTTGGCCTCACTCCTCTCCTCCCTGGCTCTGTTGATGAGTTCTCTGGCTTGGGCTGTCTCTTCTCTCATCCTCTCGAGTTCCTCTCTCAGCCGGTCTCTTTCCTGGATCAGCCGAGGTAAGGCCTGACGGAGGAAAAAAGGAAAGTTGGCAGATCGCAAAGCAAGTGAATAAAATCTGTTCATTAGGAGAGAGCATGGCTTCACACCTCTATCTGTCGGTCCACTTCCTGCTCCTCTTGTCCAAGCAGCTTCCTCCTCCTCTTCAGATCTGCTGCCTGATAGGAGACAGAAATTGATTAGTCCATGTGGTTCAGATACCTCTTAACAGAGCACATATTGTTTAAAACGGACCTTGGTCTGCAGCATGGCCTCCTGGCTCTTCAGCTCTTTGGCTCTCAGCTCCAGCTGATCCCCCAAATCCTGCAGCTCTGACTCCTACACAAAGAGATAAGATGACTTCCTTTTAGAAAAGGCTAACCTTTACCCTTCCTTGGCACAGCTTAGCAAATATTATGTAAACCCCACCTCAGAGTTAGCATTCGTGTGTCTGTCCTGACTTACCTTGCGTGAGTGTGCCAGCTCAGTCTTTTGTATCTGTGCATCCAGCTGTAAGCGGAGCTTCTCCAGCTGGACAGCATGTGAGGCCTGCAATCGCTCT